CCGAACTCTTCTGGTGAGATCGACCTTCGAATCTATTCTTCATGCACTTTCATAACAAATAAAAGTCCCTCCGCCGTAAATATACCCAAAATTGAAGCTTTTTGATGAAGTATAAAGTGGTTTGGTTAGTTTAAGTTAAGTCATTGTTAAGCTTACTTCCATTTCGAGTGAAAGTTTTGCGTGAAGAGATTCGAAGGTCGGTTCCACCAGAAGACGAAGGTGGATTCCTCTTGACCAGCTGTCGATTAACTTTACTAAAACATCCATGTTGACGCTGTTTCCGAGGCAATCTCCTTCGATTCCGGTGAAACGGTGCTAAGCTTTCGTCCGTCATATGACGGATATCATCAGAACGAGGTAGCATCGTCACAACAAAATTCAAGCTAACGAGTCAAGAAAACACATGAACATCGTAGTACCCTAGGATTATGTGGGATTGTCAACTTGAAGGACAAGAGGAATGTGCTTTTCGCAATTCAATGGAAAAGAGGAAAGAGTTGCTGGTCAAGAGGAATCCGCCGTCGTCTTCTTGTAAAACCGACTTTTGAATCTCTTCACCCAACACTTCCACTCGAAATGGAAGTAAGCTGAACAATTATGAAACAAGAGATTCCTGCAAACCCAAAGTTTCTTCGCATAATTTATGTCAGTCTTAGTGCATGTGGTGCGTCTGTGTGAGTGTGTTTATATGTATTCATGTGTTTGTGTATGTTTCATATCATCAGTGATGGCTTAAAGTGGTTAGAAAAGAAAAGTAACGCCTTCCTTGAAATGCAAATCTGCTCTGTGACCAAAGGGCACTCGTGGCAAACTCACAATCTGCACTGTCATGGTTCGACTCCCGCTGGGGGTGTTGATAGGACCGATGCGAGGTCGAAACTGCAGTCCGTTTGGGAAATGCAATGGAGACGTGAGCTCTACTCATATGATTGTGGGAAAATTCTGCTACCAGTCCTTCATCAGCTTAAACGAAATATGCTGACTTCATCTCAAGCTAACTAGTATACAGCCTTTAAGAATGAGTGGGTGAGTTTTCTTGACTCGTTAGCTCGTAATAATGATACCTTGCTCTGATGCTTTTCCATTTAAGTATTGTCTTCGAGACTACCAGTAAATCAGTAGTATGAAATGTATTCACCCAATTTCGTTTAAGGTGATGAAGTACTGGCAGAAGTAGAATTTTTCCACAATCATATGAGTTTAGTCGACGTCTCCATTCAATTTCACATAGCCTTGCTTTCCCAAACGCTGTTCTCATCCAGGCACCAACTTTTGGGAAAGCAAGGCTATGTGAAATCGAATGGAAACGTCACACGAAATTCGGGTTAATACATCTCATATAACTGATGCTTTTCGTCGACGCATCGTCGGAATCGCATGAGATCACCTGGGAAACAGTGCCTTTCGACAGCTATTGGTCTTGAAGAATCCGCCGTCGTCTTCTGATGGAATCGACGTTCGAAATGCATCATCAAACACCTACACTCGACATGGAAATAAGCTCGACCAGCATCAACCCCGAGACCCCTTGAAGTACAACTCCTCTTCGCACCGTCCGATTGAGCCTTAACAACAACGGACCGCCCAAAGCACCGTCATCGCGAACTGGCGAAGGGTAGGGCCTGCTAAGAAAGTGGGTTGGCTCACCTGTTTTGGGTCATTGACCGGCGGCAGAATGACGAGCTTCTCGAGGTTCTGAACCGTGATCCGCCAGAGCTCCTTGAGCAGGCGCTTCAGCACCGTCTTCTCGCATGCGCCCGCCAAATAGGCCAACAGAGACTCGAAATGGTCCATCAGCGGCCGGAGACAGTGCTCCGCCTCCTCCTCCATCGTGTTGCTATTGATGGTGCAAAGCATGCTGTTGCCGCTGCCGCCGCCGTCGTTGGTGTTGCTGGCCACGGTACCGTTGCCGAGCTGACTGGCGCCCGAGTGGGGCGCAGTGTTGGTGGGGGCGCGAGAGGCGGCGGAAGATGGCGGCGCCGACAGTTTGCACTGTGGGGAAAAATAGAGGCCAGAACCGAATCAGGCGGGCTCGAGATTGCCGGAAGGAGACAAAGCGGAAGGGAACTTTGCTCGTGAATTGGGGTGGAGATGAGGGAAGAGTGCATGTGAGGGTATGCAATTAAGCCGTCTTTGCCAGGCCGCCCAGGCAGACTCACCTTCTGCAAGAGTTTTCCCATCTCCTTCACGTGCGTGCGAATGCCCTCCTCGAATTCACCGGCAAAATGGCCGACCAGGAAGTCGACAACATCGTTCAGCTTCGCCTGCAGCTCGTTAAGCGCGTCATGAGTGTGCTCCATCAGGCTGGCGCGGTTTCGAGGCGGACAGAAGAAATAGCGACGCAATGGGAGTAAAAGGAATGCGAGTTAGTATTTTCTGTATTATGCTGGCGACGGTGTAGCCCAGTGGTTGCCAAATTTTTCCTAGTCGCGGCGCCCTTTTTCAATTACAATTTGTCCATGGCGCCCTAACCTAAGTATGACTATTCGTAAGTAAGAGATAAAAATACATAAAACTCGTGTATCTTCATTGGTTTTTTTAATACTTTATTAGCATTTAATTAATGTTTAATAATTAATGTGATGGATGAGCCTGCAAATCACTGCACATTTTCTCGAATCGTGTAATTCAACTGGACACGGCCATTCTCATTTCCTTTTCCGAGTTGATTTTTGCTCTATACTTGCTTTTTATTACAGCGATCGCCGAAAACACAGCTTCGCACAAATACGACGCCGACTACTACTACTAGTATTAGTAACAATAATAATAATAATAATAATAATAATAATAATAATAATAATAATAATAATAATAATAATAAT